CTTGGAATGGGAATGTGGAAATTGCCTTGGAATGGGACAAGGAGATGTGTCCAGGAATGGGGTCACACTGGAATGGGAATGAGATGGAGAGATATTTTGGAATTGCAAGGAGGGGGAGAGGGGGGGTGTAGCTTAGAATCGGAATAAAGGAAATCTGGAATTGGGGGGGGGAGGAAGAGGGTGAAAAGGTGAAGGAAAGAGACAGGAAGAAAAATTGGGGGAAGAAGAGAGGGAAAAAAGAGGGGGGGGGGAGGGGAAGAGGGGAAAAGGAAGAGGGGTGAGGGTGGGGGTGTTCTCTCTCCCTTCCCTTTCTACCGTCATCTCTTTCTTGTCTTTTCGGGTCATGTCTCCTGTCACTCTTCATTTCCATCGCTGTCTGTGTTTTTTCCTCTTTCATGTTTTTTTTTTTTCTTTTTCTTTTCTTCTTTTTTTTCTTTTTCTTTTTCTTTTTTTTTTACTCGCTCACTCACTCACTCTATCGTTCACTCTCTGTACATGTGTGTGAGTGTATGATTGTGTATGTGTGAATGTATGTGTGTATGTGTTTGCATGAGTGTATGTGTTTGCATGAGTGTATGTGTATATGTGTGTGTGTGCGTGTGTATGTGTGTGTGTGTTTGCATGAGTGTATGTGTATATGTGTGTGTGTGTGCGTGTGTGTGCATGTGTGTGCGCGTGCGTGTGTGTGTGTGTTTGTGTGTGTCTCTTTCCTGTTTCTTTCTTATCTCCCATTCTATCCTTGTCGCATCGCTCTCTTTAAACTTATCTATCGCGTTATCTATCACTTCTTTTTTATGATTAAACATTTAGCCCCCGAACAATTTCCGTTTTGTAACGTATTTGAATTTTAAATGAAATCTATTCCTTTTCTTTATTTTTTTGAATTGCAGTTTTATCTCTCTACGAATCTTTATTCCTTGTAGTTTAGTGTGATTTCTCTTCCGCCTCAGCCGTTTCATTCATTAATTACATTTTCAATTATTTATCTACTGATCTATCCCTTCTATCTATTTTCTCTACGTGTGAGTATTTATCAGTCTACCCGATTATTGATTTATCTGTCTATCGAGCTCTCTGTCGATCTGTCTATTTGTCCCTCATACTGTCCACCTGCCTTTGCATCTATGTATGTGATAATTTGTCTATCCACTTGCATATATCTATCTATCCACCAGTCTATCTATCTATCCAACTATTCTTTTTCAATCTGCCAACTCATCTATCAATCTGTCCACCTGTCTATCGATCGTTTCACGTTTCTATCTATCGGTCTACGCTCCTGCCAGTTTGTCAATCTATCTAGTTATCTATCAGTCAATCTAAACATCTGTTTATCTATCTTTCTATCGGGTAATCCATTAATCTCCCTTGGCGCTGCATCCCTATGTTCCATATATTTTCCAAATCGTTCAATTTTCTCTTTTCTCATTTCTCTCTCTCTCTCTCTCTCTCTCTCTCTCTCTCTCTCTCTCTCTCTCTCTCTCTCTCTCTCTCTCTCTCTCTCTCTCTGTCTCTCTCTCTCCCTCTCTCTCTCTCTCTCTCTGTCGCTGTCTGTCTGTCTCTCTCTCTGTCTCTGTCTCTCTCTCTCTCTGTCTCTGTCTGTCTGTCTGTCTCTCTCTCTCTCTCTCTCTCTCTCTCTCTCTCTCTCTCTCTCTCTCTCTCTCTCCCTCCCTCTCTCTCTCTCTCTCTCTGTCTGTCTCTGTCTCTGTCTCTGCCTCTGCTCTCTGTCTGTCTGCCCCCCCCCCTCTCTCTTTCTCTGTCTCTGTCTCTGTCTGTCTGCCCTCCCCCCTCACTCTCTCTCTTTCTCTCTCTCCGCAAGAGAATATCGAAAAAATGTAAAAATATGAAATTAAACTCTTCGGAGGGGAGACGTTTAAAAAAAAAAAATAGGCCTAACAAGGTTATACCAACGCTTACGTAGCACGATTAAGTGAAAGAATTAAATATTTTACAATGACTTATAATAATGAGAAAATCAAGGACGTTAGGAAAAAAAAGTTTAGCTATAATGAACAAAAATAATCATTCTCATAACTATAGAAAAAAAGGATTCTAATAATGATAATACTAATAATAACAATGGGAATGACAATGATAACAATAATAACAATAATAATGATAATAATAATGATGATAATAATAATAATAATAATAATGATAATGATAATGATGATGATGACAACAACAACAACAATAACAATAATAACAACAATAATAATAATAATAATAATAATAATAATAATAATAATAATAATAATATTTATCATTATTATTATTATTATTATTGTCATAATGATAATAATAATAATAACAATAATAATAATAATAATAATAATAATAATAATAATAATGATAATAATAATAATAATAATAATAACAATAATAATAATAATGATAATGATAATAATAAAAACAACAACAACAACAACAACAACAATAAAATAAGTAATGTCATAAATGAAAACGAAAAATCACATACAAAACAACCGACAAAAACATAAATAACCAATATAAGCAAAAT